TGGAACGACGTGGAGGCATCGTGGAATAACGTCGGTCAGCTGCCTTTGGACACATCCAATCCGGTTTTCGACAGTCCTTCGAGTCCGAACTTTTTGGACGTTGACGACATGCATTCCGAGTACTCGAATCTGACGTCATCCAGCAGTAGTGCACCTTCGTCGAACAACTTTCAGCAAAATTCTGCTGATCCGTTCAGCAACGATCCGTTCTTTCCGGAGCTCTCGCATACCGTCGCCACCTGCAACGGCTTCGGCGAAAAGGTACTGCGAATACTTTGCAATGTGATTGTGATGTTTAAATGTAACTTGACAAAATCTGCCGTCCCCGGTGGGTAAAACCGTATCCTTTTAGTATTATGCGGGAGTGCAAACGGCATTATGATCATAAATTCGACAATGAATCGCACGTGAAGTTCGTTCTTTGAAGGTTCGTTTTAAGTACACACCGGTATTTAAGATCCCCTTTTTTGAATAAGATATTGCCTTCACGAATGACGTTAGCTGCAAAGTACCCAGGCGATAGCTTCTATACCGGGAGCCAAAACGTTCGATTAAAAATAAAAATTTTCTGTCGCAAGTTGGAGAATTTAGATGATACATAAAGCAAAAATAAGCCCCGGAATTATGGGCTTACTAACGAACTGCTAATTTTCAGTGTCCGTAATTCCGTGATTTATTTTTGTTATGTATGCCAGCGGGCAGAGGTATGTTCGTTGGTGTTCGATCAACACGTCATTGTTCGATCCAACAAAGTGGTGCTGTTTGGCGCTCATATACTGCAAGAGCTGAACTGCTGCGGCATCGTGGCCTCCTTTATCAATCCCTTAGATTACTACAGGCATGGGGACGGTGCGACTACTTCGTGCGAATCCGAAGATGACAGGATATTTGATGACACATATTGATTAATTTATGAGGCGTTGACAGATATTGCAGATAAAATGATACCATAGGCATGGGATCGTCACTGCATGAGGTTAATTTGTATAACATAAGAGTGCAGATTCAAATACACGATGACAGACACAAGATTAAATGAAAGATATTGACATATCGGATGAGACGATCGATATTTGAGATATGAGGTAAAAATAGATATGATAAAGTGGAGGTTCAGATTGCTGCCCAAGATTTAAGTGTCCTTGTAGTATGGTATGAGATTGTGAACGGCAGTATCAGGTTAGTGATGCGAGATTGTACTTGAAGGGTTTGCTTCGAACAGCTGTGCCATATACAGGAAGGCGCTGTACGATGCACCCGCGTTTGGAATTCAGTATGATGTAATATTTTTGAGACTGATGAAATTAGGTGACAGATTTGATTGAGTTATTGCTTGAGGTATGAACTGCGATGAAAAATTTGCATGCAGATTGTAGCTGAACAATTCTGTGCCCGTTTAGTATGTTAGAGATAATAGACGGCAACGTAACGCTGCTTTTATGAGATCAAATGACAGATGGTTCCTTTGTGTGTAGTAAAACAGATATTTGTTGTTGTATCGTGGTATTAAGTACGACAGATGAACTGCGTATGGCAGCTTTTGATTCGATTAATAGCGAGGGTTAAATGGCAGCGCCACATGAAATGGCTCTATTGACTTCCAAGCACAAATGACCTCAGTAGCTGTGCAAATTAAGAAAAGAAAGTTGGCCCTTTTGAACCGCAGAGACTATGCCACTTACTTCAGTTGATGAGCTTCTGATGTTAGAGCTGAAACTTAGACCATGATTCCAGCATACAACATGAAAGAATAAGATAGAGGCAGATTTGCTTTGAGAGAAGAATTTGTCGTTTCGCGATGCCGTAACAGGTGGATTAAAGCAAAAATTTTAAAAAGCTGCGAATGCAGAAAACATCACAAATCTGGGGCATTCTGATTATGCAAACCGCTCAAGATCATAATATTAAAAACAGTAAACAGTGGCATATATTAGCTGAGGTGCGAGATGTAAGATCAGATATGAAACGCACGAAATGCAAATAGCAAGTGAAAACATGAGTATCATTTTTATGACATACATTCATTACATAGAATCACTTATCATATTAGATAAGAGATAGTAACTGCGTTGGTGAATGAAATGTATGATATTATGAATGATAAGATGCAACGATCGATGGCAATTCAATATTTCGGGTAGCAGCAAACATTTGACAAGTATGGCGTACGAATTACGACTGGTGAGATTTTGATTTTAATTGAGAAAATGTGATCAGAGTTCTGATAGGTATTTTTGGTTGCTAAAAATAATAAAATACCTCACTTTTGGTCTGTGCTTCTTAAAGACCTTTCAAGGTATGCAGAACGGTCTGCTGACATTGGAATATATTCATGCAGTCAATGCAAATCTGCCTAGAAACAGGGCATGCTCGTCTGATCACAGTGTTGCCATTGGCGTCATTGCATTTCTCCCGGCACCTCATCCCATGTTTTGTTTCCTGTGCAGTTTCTACAGCTTTAACGTGATTTTGATTTAGTAGATAGTCGTTTTACTCCTCATTATGAAGGTTCCGTGGAGCATGAAAATGTCCTCCCTCATTGTATTTTCATTCAGCGGGGTATAAGGGATTATTCATACCTCTTTTCTTAACAATCATCAGGATTTCATATTATGCTGATTTCATTTAAATTGCCAGTCTTAATTAACTGCATAAATTATTGTGTTAGTTAAGTATTGATTTTGGCTGGAAGCTTCCTGATGTTTCTGACTTGCTCTGTTTTTAGGCCATCTGTTCGGAAGATTCGTGGAACGGTTCGGCAAGGAGTCATCGATCGCCCGGCGGTCTTAGAAATGAGCCGCCGTTTAATCAGGCTGCTCGAGGTCACCGGTACGATGACCCTTTCGACACCAGCCACATAGTAAGTGCTTTGAAACTGCACCAACGCGATCTGTCGTCACCGCAAGCGGTCGAACGAGAGAGTGTTTCGTTGTCACACTTCCAAGCAAACGGACTTTCAACTCTGGCTGCTTCCAGTGGTGCCGCCGCCAATGGTAACGCAGGTGAGCACGTCATGATTTAATTTATCTTAGTTTTAATATACCGGGACACGATCTTTTTGAATGATTCAAATGGCAGTTGTCATCAAAATATTCTCTATGTGCGTCTAATTTATATAGAGAATGCATTTCAATA